ATTAGGCCTCAGGCTGCCGGTTACTTGCATTTAGGCTTGCTTCCGGAGAGGTATTCTCATTCAGGCTGAATTGAACTGCAGTTTCGACTTCGCCTGGGTCTCGACGGCACCATCAACCGGAAACGGCACCAGCTAGTCCAGCGTATTATTTTGACATTTTGCCACTACGCCACACTGCAACGATTGCCATGGAGCAGGCTTGAATTACCGACCACATTTACCGTATTAATGGAGCATACGCATATTTTCCCATATAAAGATTTATTAAAGTCTTGAAACCTACTCACTATAAACATAAGTAGTGTGGTAATTTAAACTGATAAAATACAAGTTTGCGACATGAAGTTTCATTTCTAAGGAAAAGTTGGCTGCAAAGAATTCGTGGAGCAGTCTCATCAAAAATCGAAGGAGGATTACCGCTTAGTGGAGACTATTGTATTGTGTGAAGAAATCCTCGACTCACTGTTCTGCGACCCAGATGAACCTGTGTTAAACTTTTGTCTGCACCGTTGCAGATATCAGAGAAAGAATACATAGTATAATAATAGAGCAAAAATATATTAAGCAAAGATGTAAACCGTTTCTCTTGTTTTATTATATTGTTGCTCTCTTTCGTAAAGTATGCACTTTTACTCTGATGATGGTTGTCCCTAGGGTAGAGACGAAAGCTTAGTACAGATTAATTGGGGTCGCAGCACGGTTCACACACTACGGCAGTCTTCGCTACTCGGCAATCCTATCTTAGTTTCCGGTGAGACCACATCACAAATTCCTTCCAACCAATTCTTTCTACGAAATGAAAGGCCGTGTCACAGTATATCTCAAAGGAATTCTTCGAAACCTAATTTTTCTTCATATCTTCAAAATTTACCTCTACTATTAAAATGTGATTTTGGCGAGGCCTGGATTGCCCGAAATTTTATTCGCCTCGTGACTTATTTGTAGCCCAGGCAGTGTGATGCAGTATTAGAATGTCGAAATTATATATTGCAACATACCGAGTTCGATTCCCGTTTTGATTGCTCGAGAAACGATGAGGCAAGTTCAAAGCTGCAGTTCAGCATGGCAAACACAAATATTTAGGAGACAAAGCACATTGCAATTCACTGGTCTCGTGGGGCCCATTAAGATAGCACAATTAAGCATAATAAGTGCTTTTATCGCAGAAGATTATTGTCTTTTTGTTTGATAAACTGTCGATTTGTTGATAAATGATAGTTTCCGGCTCTTATAATGCCTCTTACATAACATATAAAAAATCTGTACTGATTTATTGGTGAGGGCTTCTTCAAATATTAATTTCATATTTTCTCTTCTTAGCATTCCCGTGCAGTTTTCAGAGAGTCAAATT